GGGGGTCACTGGGATAACTGGGGGGGTCACTGGGATAACTGGGGGGTGTCACTGGGTGCACTGTGAGCACCGGGGGGGGTCCCAGCATGGCCGGGGGGGGTCACTCGGGGTGTTGGGATGCAGCCCCAGCCCTTACTGGTGGGCACTGGGCCGTACTGGGAGGGGCTGAGGCTCGGTGCCCCCCAGGCTGTACCCGGTGGGCATCACCGTGCAGAGGTACCCGGCCACCGACGTGGTGCTGCACAACTACCGCGTGCCCGCGGGGGTGAGAGCGGGACACGGGGGGCACGGGGGGGACCCAGAGGCTTGGTGGGACCCAAAAAGTCCTGGTTTGACCCAAAAAGTCCTGGTTTGACCCAATGAGGGCTTGGTGGGACCCAGAACCTTGGTGGGACACAATGAGGGCTTGGTGGGACCCAAAAAGTCCTGGTTTGACCCAAAAAGTCCTGGTTTGACCCAATGAGGGCTTGGTGGGACCCAGAACCTTGGTGGGACACAATGAGGGCTTGGTGGGACCCAAAAAGTCCTGGTTTGACCCAAAAAGTCCTGGTTTGACCCAATGAGGTCTTGGTGGGACCCAGAACCTTGGTGGGACACCATGAGGGCTTGGTGGGACCCAAAAAGTCCTGGTTTGACCCAAAAAGTCCTGGTTTGACCCAAAAGGTTTTGGTTTGACCCAATGAGGTCTTGGTGGGACCCAGAACCTTGGTGGGACACCATGAGGGCTTGGTGGGACCCAAAAAGTCCTGGTTTGACCCAAAAAGTCCTGGTTTGACCCAAAAGGTTTTGGTTTGACCCAATGAGGTCTTGGTGGGACCCAAAACCTTGGTGGGACACCATGAGGGCTTGGTGGGACCCAAAAAGTCCTGGTTTGACCCAAAAAGTCCTGGTTTGACCCAAAAGGTTTTGGTTTGACCCAATGAGGTCTTGGTGGGACCCAGAACCTTGGTGGGACACAATGAGGGCTTGGTGGGACCCAAAAAGTCCTGGTTTGACCCAAAAAGTCCTGGTTTGACCCAAAAGGTTTTGGTTTGACCCAAAGAGGTCTTGGTGGGACCCAGAACCTTGGTGGGACACAATGAGGGCTTGGTGGGACCCAAAAAGTCCTGGTTTGACCCAAAAGGTTTTGGTTTGACCCAAAGAGGTCTTGGTGGGACCCAGAACCTTGGTGGGACCCAATGAGGGCTTGGTGGGACCCAAAAGGTCTTGGTGGGACCCAAAATCTTGATTTGACCCAAAGTCTTGGTGGGACCCAAAATCTTGATTTGACCCAAAGTCTTGGTGGGACCCAAAAAGTCCTGGTTTGACCCAAAGAGGTTTTGGATTGACCCAAAGAAGTCTTGGTGGGACCCAAAATCTTGGTTTGACCCAAAGAGATCTTGGCTTGGCCCAAAGCCTTGGTGGGACCCAAAAAGTCTTGGTGGGACCCAAAGAGATCTTGGCTTGACCCAATGATCCCTTGGTTTGACCCAAAAGGTCTTGGTTCGACCCAATGAGGTCTTGGTGGGACCCAAAGTCTTGGTTTGACCCAACCATGCTTTGGTGTGACCCAAAAAGTCTTGATTTGACCCAAAAGTTCTTGGCTTGACCCAAAGAGGTCTTGATTTGACCAAATCATCCCTTGATTTGACCCAAGGTCTTGGTTTTACCCAATGAGGTCTTGGTGGCACCCAAAGAGGTCTTGGCTTGACCCAAAGTCTTGGTGGGACCCAAAAGGTCCTGGTTTGACCAAATGAGGTCTTGGTTTGACCCAAAAGGTCTTGGTGGGACCCAATGAGGTCTTGGTTTGACCCAAAAGGTTTTCGTTTGACCCAATCATCCCTTGGTTTGACCCAAAAGGTCCTGGCTTGGCCCAACAACCTCTTGGTTGACCCAAAGGGTCTTGGCTTGACCCAAAGTCTTGGTTTGACCCAAAAAGATCTTGGTTTGACCAAACCATCCCTTGATTTGACCCAAGGTCTTGGTTTTACCCAATGAGGTCTTGGTGGCACCCAAAGAGGTCTTGGCTTGACCCAAAACCGTCTTGATTTGACCCAAAAGTTCTTGACTTGACCCAAAACCGTCTTGATTTGACCCAAAAGTTCTTGACTTGATCCAAAACCGTCTTGATTTGACCCAAAAGTTCTTGACTTGATCCGAAGAGGTCTTGGTTTGACCCAACAACCTCTTGGTTCAACCCAAGGTCATGGCTTGACCCAACCATGTCTTGGTTTCACCCAAAGTCTTGGTTTGACCCAAAAGTTCTTGATTTGAACCAAAAGTTCTTGGTTTGACCCATCCCAGCACCGGGCTGGGGGTCCTGGGGGGGGGGTCCCAAGGAGGTCTCAGGGGGGGTCTCATGGGGTCCTGGGAGGGGTCCT